AAAAAAAAAAAAAAATTCAACAGAATTGGCTGGGCTCAGTGGCTCAGCCTGTAATCCCAGCACTTTGGAAGGCCGAGACAAGTGCATTGCCAAAGCTCGCAGGTTCGAGACCCACCAGGGCAACTTGGCGAGACCTTGTCTCTACAATAAATCAAAAATTAGCCGGGCGTGGTAGTGAGCACCTATACTTCCAGCTACTTGGAAGGCTGAGGCAGAAGGATCGCTGGAGCCTAGCAGGTTGAGGCTGCGGTGACCAGGAACATGCCACTGCACTCCAGTCTGGGCGACAGAGTGAAACTCCAACTCAAAAAAAAAAAAATTTAACAGAATTGACAGAGACACTGGAACCATCCTGTGGCAAAACTGAGATATCAAAACTACAGGAGTGAAGATTATGAAAAATTCATAGTATTAAAAGTAGAGTCATTCAGTTGTTGATAAAATGGATACACCAGAACATTACAGATACTCAAAAGAGAATTTTAATACATTTCATGTAAAGCCATTTTGGCACTGTGCCTCTCACAAAATTAATTACGTCAATGAAACATGCTACACAATCTGTAGGATCCTTCTTCAGTTAAATGGTTCATTTCAGACTATCATCACATTCTCTCTCATCTTAAAGCCATCAGGATATTTAGCAGCCACAGGAAAATTTTTTAGGCCTTTTAAATCTTTTAAAAAGTTTGTTTTTAATTTTTAAGAGACGTTATCTCACTATGCTGCTTAGGCTAAAGTGCAGTGGTTACTCACAGGCCAGATCATTGTGCCCTGAGTCCCTGGAATCAAGCAATCCTCCCGCCTCACACTCTCAAGAACCTAATGCCTGGCTAAAAATGTTTTAACATTTTTAAAGCAAAAAATAAATAAAGACACTAAGCAAGTTTCTATGAGGTTAAGTAAAGTCCAAAGATGAAAAACAGACCACTAATGTAGTCCCCTAAAGAAAAGTAAATCTCAAAGGAAGGAAACTAATATTTTTCAACACTTTTTACATGCCAACTATGTTACACATATTATTTTAAAAATCATAGCAAAGCCTGAGAGGGATTATTATCTCTGTCAAGATTCAGACAAATTAGCTTCACTGTTTTCAACATATGTATATTAAAGTCCTATCATGTACTAGGCATTAAGTTAGCGCTTAAAGACATAGAACCAAATAAAAAAAAGACAAGGTTTTTGCCCTAAAAGGATTTATAGTCCTGACCAAAATCACATGAGTATATAGCAGAGTAATATTTGGAAACAGTGTGACTTCAAAAGTCATACCTCAAATTGTCAAAAATGACTGAGTCAGAGGCAAAGTGCTTTCAGTAGCTCATCTATGCATCTTAAAAATTAAAACCAAAAAAGAGTCCTCTTAGATTATCAGCTTTCAGCTATGATAAAGACCATTTGAAACATGTGTAGATCTATATAGCAAATCTCATATTTACTGGTTAAAGAATGAAGCTTTCCCTTCTTGATCAAGGAAAAGTCAAGGCTACTTGCAATCACTACTCTGTTTCACATGGTACTAGAAGAGCTAGAGAGCATGGTAAGACTAGAAAAAAAAACAAAGGGCAGAAGAAATTATAAGGAAGAAACAAATTCATTAAAAGGACATAACTAATATATATGACAGTTTTGGAATTAAGATTTTTATCAAACTTTAGACTTATAGGATGTAAAAGTCAATGCCATATACTTATATAACAACATAAACAAAATGAAATTTTATAAAAAATATAATTTATAAGGATTTGAAAACATCTATCTTGAAATAAATCTAAAAGATGTGAGCGTGCTCTATTTAAAAATTATGAAATTTTGGCTGGACGTGGTGGCTCACACCTGTAATCCCAGCACTTTGGGAGGCTGAAGGGGGAAGACTGCTTATACCCAGAAGACCAGCCTGGGTAACACAGCGAGACCTCCTCTCTACCAAAAAAAGAAAAAGAAAAAAATACACACACACACACACACACACACACACACACATCTATATAATGATATTTTATTGGCAAATGTCCATTAACTGATGAACTTATAATGTGTACTGGAATTATAATATATAATTTAAATGTATCATATTCATACAATAGAACAGTATTAAGTCACAAAAAGGAATAAAATTCTGATAGATCTACATCATGAATGAGCCTTACAAACACTGATGCAACTGAAAGAGGTCAGACACCAAAGGCCATATATAGTATATTATATGATTCCATTTATATGAAAGGTTCAGAATAGGAAAATTCTCCAAGACAGAAAGCAGAGGTTGCTAAGGACCTTCGTGGTGACTGCTTAATGGGCATGGGGTGAGGGCAGGGTGATAAAATGTTATAAAATTAAATATTGGTGATAGTCATACAACATTATGAATGTACTAAAAGCAACTGAATTGTATACTTTAAAACAGTTAAAATGGTAAATTTTATGTTATGCATATTTTACCGCAATTAAAGAAAATAGTGAAATGGTTAATTTCATCTCAAAGCTTTTTGGATAGACAATAAAACAGATTTTACTAATAGAGTGGTATTCCTTTTTCCTAGATTTAAAACTTAACATTGTAAAGATAGCAATTCTAAACAAACTGATTGATAGATTAAGTACAATCTCAATCAAAATCCCAACAGACTTTCGTGACGCTTGACAAGCTGATTCTAAAATAGCGAAGGACAAGAACAGCTAAGGCACTGTTAAAAAAGAACAAAGTAGGGACTGACTTACTATAGCACTATAGATATTAAGACAGCGAGGTATCAGTGCAGGAATAGATAAACAGAACAGAGTGCCTAGAACAGACAGATGTAGGCACTTATAGACCTTGATTTATGACAGAAATGACACCACAAAGCAGCGAATGTTCTTTTCACCAACGGGTGCTGGGACAACTGGAAATCCATTAGGGGACAAAATGAAATTGGACCTCAACCTCATTCCACACACAAAAATTAACTTCAGATGGAGTACAGACCTAAAAGTGAAAAGTGAGCTCTTGGAAGGCAATGTAGAAAACTATCTTCAAGACCTTGGGGTAAAAAATTTGTTAAACCACACACAAAAAACATTACCTATAAAAAGAAATGATGGACACATTTGACTACACTAAAACTGAGAATACCGGTTCATCAAAAGACACATTGAGAGTGAAAAGACGAGCCATAAATTGTGAGAAGATATATGCAACTCATTTATCCATCAAGGATTTATATCTAGAATATATAAAGAACTCTTGCTAACCAACGAGACAAAGACAAACCACCCCACAGAAACAAGGGCAAATAATTTGTAATAGTTACTTCACAACAAAAAAATCTAAAGGCCAAAACAAATGTAAAAAGTGCTCAATCTCATTAGTAACCAGAAAATGCAAATGAAAACCACAATGAAAAATTGGAATATCAAGTGTGGATCAGAATGTGGAACAATAATTTTATATTGCTGGCAGGAGATTATGTTGCTACAAGACCTTTAGAAAACTATTAGGCAACATCTGCTGAAATTGAACATATGATCAACACAATTCTACTCCTAGGTATTAGATTGAACTATATGAAATAATTAATATTTGATGTTTGATCCACAAAGATGGTAGTTTCATATGGTTCAACCTAATGTATATCCAACCGAAATGCTTGCACCAAAAGTCAAGTTTAAGGATGTTCTCAATGGTGTTATTTGTAGCTGGTCCAGATTAGAAAAAACCAAACATCATCAACTGTAAAATAATAAATACACTGTGGTTAAGTCATACAATGAAATACTATACACTAATAAGAAAGAATAAACTACTGCTATCTGCCAATAACGTGTGATAATTACAAACAAAATGTAAGTGAAAAGATCAGGACACAAAAGAATAAATGCAGTATTATTCAGGTAAAACTACCCTAAATCATTTAGGGCTGCATGTAAAATGATAACTCTAAAGAGAAAAAGCAAGAAAATTATTATCATAAAAGTCAGATAACTCCCTGCAAAGGGGGTTATGGGTAGTGATCAAAAGGAATGACTAGGGGAACTTCTGGGTGCTGACAATATACTATTATTTCACTTAGGTGATGATTACACAGGCACTTGCTCTATTATTACTGAATTATTATTAATTTACCGTACTCGTATTTTATCACATAAAAGTGCATATAAGAACAAACGTGGTCCTCCCTGGCTTACAGTAAACTCTGTTCTTCCCCAGCCTCTACTCTACAGCAATGTTCTCATTCTCTCCCAGCATTATTTATATGTAAAAAAGACTTCAGTCTCACATCTGTCTCTACATATGGCCTATTCCTCCAGG